ATATATATATATATATACCTTTATTTCTCAGGAACTATTATATATATATATATATATATATTGTCTTGTAAAAGCGTAAATTTCATACTTGTATGTTCTCTTTGCTGTTTCAGTACCATTTTTCTTTCATCTCTTTCCATTAAAATACCAAAATAATGTTAATAAAAACAGTAATTACCGTAAATGATTATTATCTCCCTAACAAGATCTGTTTGTCATGTTGCAATTTTTAATTAGAAATAATGTAGCTGGATGCCCCTTTAGACTTCCTTTTTGTGTTACATTATAATTGGAATTATCTCGTACTTTCTTAGAAAAGACACAATTGTTAATAAAAAACAGTAATTACCGTAAATGATTATTATCTCCCTAACAAGATCTGTTTGTCATGTTGCAATTTTTAATTAGAAATAATGTAGCTGGATACCCCTTTAGACTTCCTTTTTGTGTTACATTATAATTGGAATTATCTTGTACGTTCTTAGAAAAGACACAATTGTAGTTTGTGCCGAATACTCCTTTCAGACTTTCTTTATCTGTAGACTTACAATGCTAGAAACCGGGTTTCGATCCCCGTGGTGGGCAGAGCACAGATAGTCCTTTGTGTAGCTTTGTGCTTAACTAAAAACAAACAAACAGACTTTCTTCTTGTGTTACATTATAATTGACACGGTCTCGTGTTACATTGTAATTGACACGGTCTCGTGTTACATTATAATTGACACGACTGAAAATTCGGTTAAAATACGATAAGTCACCAAGATGAAATGGAAAAATAAAAATAAATATATATATATAACGAATATAATTTCCTCTACGGTGCTCCCAGCAGAAAATAAATAAGTACAAATACTTTGTCCATAAGTTAGTTTCCAAGTGACTTGAGTAAACTCATTATTATTAATTTGTTTTTGACCAGGCGGCAGGTACAGTATTCTACCCTCAGGTAAGCTTTACATTAGAGGGGTGACAGCAGACGATGGAAGAGCTAGTTATCGATGCATTGCTCGACATCGCTTGACGTCACAGGTTATCAGCAGCGTTACTAGCGGGCGTCTAATTGTTAGAGGTGAGATATATAACACAATTATATTACAACACTGTTATTTAAGAAGGAATCTTTAAGCCTTTACTACTTCAGAATATACAAATCTACTAAACGATTATTTACACAATTACAGTTATAGCTATTCAACTTAGAATTATATTTGGAAAACGTCGTTAAACAAAGTGCAAAAGTTATAGTTCTAGCTTCCAGAAGAAGAAAAATTTGTCATTGCATAAGTAGTGTAATTATTTAAAGCTCCAGAAATTTGAATATAATTTTTTTTTTCTTTGTTGGTCTTGGAGTTCTCTTAATGTTGTGTTCTTTTTTTTTAAATGGTGTTTGATGTTTTCTTTGAAAGATACAAATTGGTCAGCACCAATAGTTTGACGTTTGAAATCTCCTTAATGACCATTAAAGATTTCTGACCTTTGACAGCCGATATCAGAACAGTTTTTTGTTTGTAATAGTATTTTTTTTTTGCATTATTACCTTTGAAATAAATTGTAAAAACAATATCTATTTGTGCAAACTGTAAATTTTCCTGATAATGATAAAAATTATGCAAGAGATCTTAAAACATCTAAAAAATTGTATATGAAGTACAAAATAAATAATATAGGTGCAAATGTCTTGTTCAGAGAAGTACCCAGATCTAATGTCTTGTTCGGAGAAGTATCCAGATCTAATGTCTTGTTCGGAGAAGTATCCAGATCTAATGTCTTGTTCGAGAAGTATCCGATCTAATGTCTTGTTCGGAGAAGTATCCAGATCTATTGTCTTGTTCGGAGAAGTATCCAGATCTAATGTCTTGTTCAGAGAAGTACCCAGATCTAATGTCTTGTTCAGAGAAGTACCCAGATCTAATGTCTTGTTCAGAGAAGTACCTAGATCTAATGTATTGTTCAGAGAAGTATCCAGATCTTTACAGAACTCATTATTTACTGTGTTTTCCTTCTATTACTTCATATTAATTATTCTCAGGTAAGAAATGGGTTTTTCATGGTTTTTCTTTTTTTAACAGAACCCCAAAGTCAGTTTGCTCCAAATATTGTTGACAGACAGCATTTGGTTAGAGCCAAAGAGGGCGACACTGTCGAACTAGGTTGTGTCGCTCAAGGGTATCCTGTCCCAACTTACAGGTATTTCATCTAACTGTTTTTTATATTAATGTTTCTTTTTATTTAAATTCGTATCAACGAACTTTGATATATTTTTTTCATTTGAAAAAGTAAACTATACAATAGTACTATGCTTTTCTACATCACACACATAAATTAAAGTACATTTATAATGACTGAACATATGTAAGGTAATATGATAACAAGGATTATGTTAACACACAGAAACTACTAAGATGATTAGCATTAATATTTGAAAGTTGAATGAACAGCATATACCTTATGATAACAAGGATTATGTTAACATCCGGTTAACAACCAGAAACTACTAAGATGATTAGCATTAATATTTTAAAGTTGAATGAACAGCATATACCTATAGTTATAATCATAATGACACATTTTATAAAATCAACACTTGTCTGACATCTGTTCATAATAAAAACCAAAACCAATTTTCAGTTTGAAAGATTCTCACAAAAAGCTACTCGTAACCATTTTGATTATTAAATAATAGAAATACAATTGGCCATTATTGAGATTTATAATGGAAACTTTCTGCTTCGTTACAAAATACTTATAATAAAAAAATTGCAAACATTTCATCTATTTCAGCAATGGATGTCTTCCAGAAAAATCATCGTAGTTCTAGGATCTGATGTTTTCTCAACCATTTTTCTTTACAGATTTACATAAACACAAACATAATCAGATGGTTAAATATTCTGATTTTTACTAGGATTGTTTGTTTGTTTGTTTG